GCTGAGAAAGGAAGATGAATGAGTTTAATTCCCAGGATGTAAAATAAAGATGCTTTGGGACCCTGGGAAGGAGACCCAACAACCAACTATTTTCAAGCTTCCAACCCAAAGCATCTTTATACATTTCAAGGTTCTAATTTTTTTTTTTTTTTGTCCAGCCCCAGTGGATTCTCACAAATGCCATTAGAAGTGCTGGAATGAGCCAGAGGAACCAGATTTTCACAGATTATCTGTCTCATGTACTACTGTCAGAAAAAGGTGAAAATTTCAGCAGATATGACAAAAAGTTTTTTTTTTTTACCTAAAAGTTACCTACTGCAGCCCTAACCAACACCTCCATCTTTCATCTTACCTTCACTGAGTGTTTTGTGGTAGACTATACCTAAAAACTCCATAAACAGCCTCTTAAATTCATTAGCAAAGCACATTAGTGATAACAGTTTTTCATAGGAGTCAGGAGGCAGTGTTGCAGGGTGTGCACTGTGCATGTGTTACACTGTATTTGTGCTATATGCAGCCTGTTTGTGAAAGTAAGAAAAAGTCTAGACTAGATTAAAGCCTAGACCAATTTGAGGACTGTGAACGCACAAACACACACAGTCTGTCACCCTCCTAAAATTGACTATGTTTCTCAAAACAGTGCCAGATGCACGGACTTACAGTAGAAGGTTCATACACACAGACACATACACACACACACACACACACACACAAAGTGTTTGATAGCCTATGTGTGTCAGTGTAATAAATCATGTAAAGCAGGTTGCTGGTTGTTGCTGATGCTACAGTCTCCGTCTGCTCCACATGATTAGGAAGAGGATCATGTGGAGAATCTCCATATGTCTGTTTCACGTTGGGCTTCCAAACCCCTGGGGAGGATGTGTGTGTGTGTGTGTGTGTGTGTGTGTGTGTGTGTGTGTGTTTTGTCCATGAAACAGTAGGTATCCACGCAGCTTGCATGCATCCTATCAGTGTGTGCCTGTGAGTGTGTGCTCTCGCCAGCGTGTGTTTTCCCTGTGCACATCCCGGAGTGCACCCATGCATGCTTTGAGTCCCTGGTGTATTTGAGTATGCAAGTTCAATGTTTCAGTGTTTGGCGAGGGGCTAAATAATGCACAAAGAGACAGTAAGATTGAATGGATGAGTGTACATCTACTGCTGGCTAATTTTCCCTGTGATTTATTACACTCTACTGTCCCAGTCACAGCCAGCTGTGATACATATACACATACTTCCCTATTGAGAATACTGAATACAATGGTAGCAAGTATACAGGTTCTCAATCACAGATGGATCTTCTGCGTGTTGCTCCTCTGTATTAATTCATTCATTCTCATTTTTCCAATTAACACATCTATTATCACTTGCAAGAACGTAGTGACTTGTAAAATTAAAGCTACAAAAGCATTTACAGCTTGCTAAAAGACCATACCAGTGTATTTAAAGCTGCACTTATTAATATTTAAATCTTAAAAAAGTGTGGATACAGTGGGTAGTGGGTTGTAATCCTGCACACTGTTCCTTTAAGGTGTGATTGGTGTGACACGTTGCAAGTTGTAGGACCCACAATAGACACATCTTAGAAGGGAATGTCAGAATCCAAGATATCTTGACTTTTAGTACCTAGTATAGTCAAACTCCAAAAAACACAAATTTATCCTACACATCCCATGATGCAACTTGATAGAGTCTTACATTAGATACACCCTAATACTTCATACACCCAGTTTTGTAATCCAGGCTTTCTGGTAAAAACTTGTAAACTCTAAACCCAAGGCCTGATCATGTCATCAGACATTATACAGCTGTTTCCACATGCTCTGATACATGGGGAGTGCCCCTTTTCTGTGCGGTTTTAAATTCACACAGCAGACTTGAAACTTGCTTGATTTGTGTAATCCATCACAGCGAACATCAAGTCAGCATTCATTTTTATCAATGTAGACTTTTTCTAATTAATCTGCACTCAAACTGCGTTACCACGCAACAATAATGTAACACTGACAGAATTCAAATTCGGTTTGTTCACTGTGATTGATAGCGCAACTCTAGCAAGTTTCTAAAGTGTTCTAATAGATGTTCATACTGTCTGAAACTGAAAATGCCTGCAACAGCAATAAAAATATGGCCAAAAATCAATGTCCAAATTAGCTTAATATTCAGCTATGATGTCATACATAGGCTCCCCCCTTTAAAAGCACTTGTAGGGTTTCACTCCTGCAGCGTACAACTGAACAGGTTGATCTGAAAACGGCTGACCGACATTGTAACCAGTCCCTGTTGTTCCAACTGTCCTTCCACCCTCTGCTGTGTAGTTTATTTCAGCAGTTTCACTTTTGCACGGATCATGATTTTCTTTTCTTCCAGCATCACTTTTCTCAAACATGCACATCTTTTATATTCCACATACATTCTCTCTCCATCTGTTTCTCCCTCGTTTGTTTGTTTCCCCTCAGTCTGCTTGCTGAGCTTAGTATTTCTTTCTTTCGTCTTCTCTTACCTCTCCTTACCTCCTCCATCACACTCTCTGTTGCATCGTCATTGTCTGTTCCTAATTCCCTCACCTCCTCTTTGGCTCTCTCTTTCTTTGTCTCTTCGCTTCCCTCTTTTTCCGCTTTAGAGGGTCTGCCAGGCTTGTGTATGTGCGTCTGTGTTTGTGTGTGTTTGTGTCCGTCAGTCTACCACACCACTGCAATTCATCATCATTTTATCTACAGCTCCCTTAATTGGATCCTATCACAGTCCCACCTGACGAGGAGAGAGGCGGGGGGTGGGGAAAAGGAAGCATACTCGCTCTCAACACCACATGGATCTGCTCACGTGGGCGCATGCACACACATTGCGCACACACTCTCCAGCCCCCTAAGCTTCATAAACAGCTGCAAAGTTGTGTTTAGGCCACTATTATTTACTATTTTTCCTGCCTCCTGCAGAAAGAACATTAGGATTTTACAAAACGTTAAAGTGCACCGTGGAGTGATGAAATATAATGTGTGTGCATGTGTGTGTGCATCCATTCAGTTTGCCAGTGAATCGGAGATTTGCTGAGAAAGGTCTCTGTCCTCCAGCATCAGCAACGCTCAGCAGTAGTACTGGCGTAGTAATGAATGTGTGTGAGTGTATCTAACACAAGGGATGCAAACTGCACACGGCTAGTTCCTGGAGTACGCGCTGGTGTTTGGTGGGATGGGAGGCTTTCACAACACACTTAAACTTTCACAGAGAGAGAACAAAAAATAACTAACTGCTGCGGTATAATAATACTGTGTTTTATCTAAATAGCAAGTTTTAATCTCACTAGTGTTACAATGTCAGTGACAGAAGATATTAGAAAGGGTCTCACCATGCTGAAGGCATATGAGTAGTTTGAAAGTAAAAGCTAGAAATCCTTAAGTAAAGGAAGTGAATCTGACTTTGACCAATTTATTCAAACATTCAACTTGATGTACAGCAATTACTGTTTTTGCAGCACATTTTTGCACTATTCAATAGGCTTTAAAGTAGTCAGGTCACTGAGGACAAATCTGACAAAAACCCGTAATAACAACCCAAAAAGTAAAATCATGAAAGAACACTCACTTGCACGAAGCAATTACAGAGGCACAAGCCACTAAATATGCACAAATTACCTTTCCAAAACACAAAAGAACTGTAGGAGCCATCATTGCAATTTGGAAATCTATTTCAATAATATGCCCCTGAACTATTTTTCATGTCACCGTCCAACATCAGAGGCATAACGACTTTCAGGATTCCAATACTGACGCTCATTCTTTCCCCCCTTTTAAGGAAGAAAGTGGGTGACCGCATAGAGCTCAAAAACAGCAAGAGGCCGCAAATCAGCGATGTTTTTTGAACCCAGTGGTAACACTAAATGACCTGGAGGCCCTGACACGCGTGTGACAGGCTGAAGAAAAAGGCGGCCGGTGAAGTTGCCAAAGCCACACACCGGCTCCCACTGCCTTTTAACTGCAAGGACTCGCTATTGGATCTATCACCACTGCTGCGGTGTGTGCAGGCTCGCATGTTAATCATATGTCTCGTTAAGTAAGTCATAATTGGTGTCGTTAAAATGTCTCCTCTCTGCCTCATGCCCTGATTGGAGCTGAGGAAATTAACATTGCTGAAATGGTCGCTCCCTATTAGCGGTGACAGTTTGACTGAGGGCTAAAAGGCAGGAATGAGGAGTGGGAATGAAGAGAGAGTGGATTTGCGACAGTCAGTCCCTGTGGCCATACGCTTCAGTTTCAAGTCTTTGCCACACCAGTCTATTAACTGCTGGTCTCACACTATAGCTAACCATCTGTAAAGTCTACTAATGGTTAACCAGTATCACTGTCCTAAATGGTGCTCCAGCTTACAGACTGAGCACCTGGGGATGGCTGGAGCAGCGAGATAGTTGATTAGGAATGGCTGAGCTGGTAATCAATAAATAAAAAGCGACAATACATAAACTCACATTCATCAGGTCAACAGACTACAATATTAAATGGTGGACTATCAGACATTAAAAAAAAAATGCCTGATAGATATTTTTCCCCCAATAAGTAGGAGACCCAACCAGCAAACCTTATGCATATTAGCAGCACAATTGGCAGCACAGATACTGCTGGTAGGAGCAGCAAGGGAGACCCGAACCTGCTCGACCCATCGGTCAGCCCATCGGTCGGGCAAATTCAGGACATTCAAGAAAACGTTACGGGTTTTTTTTGTGTTCCCAGTAAGGTATTATTAATTTAACATAGATTACAAACATTGCATGCACCCTCAAATGTTAAGTGAGTGAAATGCAATCACCTTTATTCTAACTTCTGATACCTATTAGTCTAATTTAATTACTTTAAAGAAAGAAAACATTTTGACTAAAAGTTGAATTACTTTTTGTCGAATAAAACTGGGCTAAAACATTTTGATTTGTCCTTGACTAAAACTAATAAAACAGATAAGCACAAGACAAGATTAAGATTAAATATAAAATCCCAATTGTTTTTTAGCCTTACCGTGGTCTTCTGACACTGTATGCTGGTGCTGTTGAACCTCAGGGCTGGGACGTTGTGCGTGCTGCCCTGGATGTGGAAGATACACTCATAGTTCTTCTGTCCAGACTGCGGCTGGGGAAGGTTCTGGGCCAGCAGGGTGATTGGCCTCATGACTCCAGCAGGGATGTAGATCTGAGGGGAGGGCAGGATCTGAGGACACTCCTGGGGATGAGAAAAAATAAGAATAAAGAATTGTGAGACGTGACTGGAAAAGAAAGCAGACAGTCTCAGTGGGATGCAGATCTGGGTGGACAGGGTGTTCTGGACATGCTGGTGGAGGGACGGGATAAAGAAAATCGATGTCTTCTCCACTGACAGAAAAAATACAGATGAGGCTATTTATTCTGACTGACCAGTCATAATTGTGTATTAGAAATGGCACTATGGCATTACAGAACTCCCTTGTGTCCATAATTAGCTATGAATCATTTTCTTTTTCCTCCCAAGAGCATCCATCCACATAATTCCAGATGCACCCCAGCATCCTTTGTTCTCATGGTGGAATATGTTTGAACAATCAGGCTGCCTTAAACCTCCACTTACAAATTATCAACACTCCTGAGGATCAACTCTTGTCCTATTTGTGAACCACTGAATATTGAATGTGGCTGGCACTTGTCAAAATGAGTACATGCCATTTTGGAATCCAACCCTTCCAAGTATTAATGAGGCTGATATTAGGTGTGTTTTTGCCTAAATGAATGCACCAAAGGATATTCTAATTCTTTCTGCGTGGACGAAAATGAGAGCCTGAGGCAGCGTCTCTTAGGAACACGGACAGTGTTAATTCTACCATGCTGTACTGTAAAACAGCTACAGTCTGACGAATTAGAGGAGGGAGATGACTGAGGGGTCAGCGCTTCAGTTCAGCGATTTCTTGCTGCTCTGCAATCAATGAGAAATTGGCTAGAATAGTAGCTTTGCACCACAATCTCTGAGTGTTTTTTCAACCCTAAGTAAATCATAAAACAATATTTAGCTGTCAGCTGGAATCCATGCTATGTCACTGCTCATGCGTTAGAGTTAATTTGTGCTTCGAACTGTGTTTTTGACTGGTTCAACAAAAGAGATTTAATTTCAACACGTTCATGTGTGGCAGTGATACTACAGTATTAGCATATTTCATATTGATATGCTGAATTTACATCACACAATAAAAAGTATTGCAACTGTTCGCCACAACTATCCACCCCCAACATACATTTCAAGAGTAGTTTTAACATCTTAGTTTTTTTCTGAAACAAGCAAGTCAAAAAGTGGTCATTCAAGAGATTAAACTGCCTTTTTATTCATTGAGCCAAGATGCTTAAGTGATTGTTTGTAGAAGATTTTAATTTATATTAAGTGTGACTAAAAGGCTGTGACCTGTTAACACATTTTCCGCAGTGTAAGTGGATAAAAAGAGCCACTGCAATATCATGGCTGTAATTACCATTGAATAAGTTCTATCCACTAATGTGTGCTTGGTATTCATCTGGAGATGCGGTAAACAATCGTAAAGGCCATACAAATACCAAACTACAATTTACAAATTAAGTCGTATTCCACTTTAAGCGCCATTAAGCGAACTATAATTTTTCTATTAGGATGGTAAACGTTTATATCTGCAATGATCAATCAGCAGGTACTGCATTCTATTTAATCAGGAGTGAATACCTAAAGTCAAACCACACCAGCAGCCTCACACTCTGTAGCGTAATCTCAATATGAGTGTGCTCTGTGCAGAGTTACTGTCTAATGGGGCATCGGTAATGACTTGCAGATAGGCCTGGGAATTGCAGAGAGGATGCAGAGGGGTAAGAGGGGTTTGGACATATTGGCACCAAGAGACACCTCTGCTCCCTTCACAACAATATAGCACACTCCCACAGCCAGATAGCATTGGCACCATATGGGAAGACGAAGGGTGGAAAAGTCAAAGATGTAAATATTTGGAGATTATATGTATATATACGAAGCATTTTTAATAGTGTTTAATTTGTAATTCAATATATTTGATTAAAGATGGCATGTAACACAGTTCCTTTAAAGCTGAATTAATCAATACTTTTTAGACTAACAGTGGATAAAATGAGTATGTGTAATGTGAAACTCGTAGTGACAAACCCCCACAGAGTAGTTTCCTACTAGGCTGTACAAAGCTTCCAGCTTCTTTTAACTAATTGTTTTTGTTTCTGGGCGCCTTTCCTTTCTATGACCCTTATGAGATTAGGAGTTGGTTTGTCGAGATAAGTAGCTGGTGGTGCTCATTCTCCAGTCAGGTCTGTAGAAATTGGCATTTATGTTTGTTTTGTGTATCAATTTGAGGAACATTACAGTCACCTTACTGCTCTGCACAAATCTGATGTTTTCATCTCCCGCCCCATGTTTAGTTTCTTCAGTGGAGCAGAAGCATCAGTGGATGATGTATGTTGGGATTTATTCCCATTGCACTTTGTTGCATTTTGATCACTAGATGAACTTTTCCATCTCAGCCAAACATAAACAGTTTTTAATATTTACTGATTTAAAAAAAATGCTAATTGATTTTGAGCAATTGGTATAGAGGTATTTTTCAATTTCCTCTGCTGTTCGCAAGTGGCCACAAAAAGGGGAAATATCAGTGCAGCCTTAAAACTATCTAGAAATTTAATAAAACAAATATTGATTGCCTTTTTTTTCGCAAGTAGACTATTAGGATAATTATAACTGATCATTTTACCAACAGTAACTTTACTGGCATGTTTGCCAACTGACTTTATGACCGCAGTTGGATAATGTGAAAGCTCCTACTTGTAATTATGAGCAGGAGGCTGCGGCGAACAGGTTTGTCCCAGTCGGTGGCTCTCATTTACAGAGAATCTAACATGATATGAACGTTGCGATGTGGTTGTAAGAGGGAAGGAGGAGGAAAGAAATGAGGAATGAGAGACAGAGAAGAGATCAAATCAATGCCAATGAGCTCAGTGAAGCAGATTGTCAATTAGTGAGGCTGACAGTCAAAGTTTAAAGTATTCACAGATGGCGACAGATCGCTAATGAACTGCTTCTAGCCTCCAATAAAATGGAAAACAGGACTAAAGAAGCCCAGAAAGAAAGAGGGAAAGAGTGTGTGTGCCCATTCTCTTTTTCAGGGCGTCAAATATCGACGTTTTGTCACAGCCCTTTGGCGTCTCATACAGACGCTAAGCACCTTGTGCTTCTGAATATGACGCAGCGGGGCGTGGCAAAGCAGCGTCGGTATTTGACGACCTGGGATGAGAACATGTGGTGTGTATGTGACAAGAAGGACGGAGTATCTAGTCTGAAGTCATTGTTAATGTTGGGAAGACTGGGCTCAAGCATCTGCTCCAACTGTGGCATGGAAATCCTGTCTGGCTGCCACCCACCCGCCCACACACACACACATATACACACACATATACACACACATACACTGAGACCACTTCACATCTGTGCCTCGCTATTGCACATTCTGGTCCCTATTGCTTCAACAACACGCACACACACACACACACACACACACACACACACACACACACACACACACACACACACACACACACACTCTCCTAAGGTCTGTTCCTTATTACTGATGCATCAGAGTCGGGATAAAAAGCACAGCGTCACATTCCTCTGTGGAACATGATTATATGCACAACACGCATATGCATGAACACACATACAAAGGCCCCACATAGAACCCACATATACAGTACAAAGACTCACAATAGAGCGAACACATGAAGGGAATAGAGAAGGTAACACACACACACACTCAAAGGAGGGAGGGAGTGAACAAAAGATCTGGAAGCAGAGGATTGTGGGAGATGTTTCATTAGGAGTGGTGACAGGTGTCAGAGCCGAGTCTGCATCAGATAGCAGAGCAGTTCTACACAATGAGACACAACAATCTCTTTACCTGGGGGATTCCTCTAATCCCTCGCTTTCACTCCTCTCTTTTCTTTCTTCCTCTCGATTGCACTTGATCTCTGTTTAAATTCTCTGAATCTTCCTTCTCTTTCTCTCTCTCATTGTGGCCTTGTTTTCCAACCTTTATTTTATCCAGTTAGCTGAATGACTTCCTTCTGATTCATACGGCCCCATACCTTCGGGGATTCCCAGTTGCAGCCACTGGAACCTTCCCAGTACAACTACTAGCACACAAAAATCTACAGACATTCCTTGTTGAGATATAAATTTACTGCGATGTAAGTCGGGGATGAACAGTGATACAGAGGATGAGCAGAGATAAACCATCGGATAAGAAAGGGCGAGGAGAGGTGGAGCGAGAAGGGAAGGAGGGGAGGAGGTGAGGAGGCGAGCCGAGGTCTTGGGAGCCATACACTCGCTTATTAAAGTGGAGGAAGATAGTCGAGGAGGTCAGGTTCCCAACAGAGCGAGGCGGGGTGGAGCGCTGAAACAAGGGAGTCATACACACCGCTTATATACCTGTATATCCAAACGATTTCCCAGACAGGCAATGCAGGCACACACACAAACTATGTTACATTTAGATGGATATATACCCTCACACACAGCTACCACTAACTAGCCTGCAACACACACACCGATCAAAGGCTAAATCTTGCCCTCTGGCTCTGTGCAGAAACCACTGCAGTCTCAGGCTCGTGAAGTGTTTTACAGTAGCCTTGGGGCCAAATACATGGACACTGTGATCAAAGGCGGGAAGGTAAGCCTTCAAAAAAAAAAAAAAAAGTCTTCCATACCACCAATGTAAAATCTCTATTAGGGTCTCTGTCAGCTGCTTCTAGCATCTGTAGGTCTGTACACTGTACCTTGTGCAAAACCCCCATAGGCAGGCTGACTGACTGACTGATACTCCCAGTGTGTTTACTTATATGGCCATATTGAACTGGGAAATTGGGAAAAATGTGTACTCTGTGCATATTAACTATTAACTATGTATTCTGATCATGCTGGAGGGCTGAATGGCAGTCCTAGAAATGCTAGTATGCACGCTGAGATCTCCAGTGTCCTGTCCCACATTAGGCCCTTTTCACAGCAGACACTATCTCATGTCAAAGCAGGAAAAGCACAGCTGTAATTAATAATGATGAATCCGTTCCAGGGTTCAGGTATTGTGCATGACAGGCCCACTAGCATGGCTTATGATACTACAATAGTAACCTGTGGTCTCCTGATATGACAAGTCAAACTGT